GCACCACCATGCCCAGCTAATGTTTTGTATTTTTAGTAGAGACGGGGTTTCACCATGTTGACCAGGATGGTCTTGATCTCTTGACCTCGTGATCCACCCGCCTCGGCCTCCCAAAGGCTGGGATTACAGGCTTGAGCCACCGCGCCAGGCAAGAACATTTTTTTTTTAAGCTGGAGAACTGTCACTCTAGATCAGTGTATACTTTCTTTCTCCAAATAAGCATCTTTAAAATTATTCCTCATCTTCCTTGGTAGTGGCCATGGTTTTTAGCCCCAAGAAGCCACAAGGAGCTAACAGAATCCACTTCAGAAAACTTTGAGGCCCTTGTCTGCTTTCAGATGAATCCTAGATTTTCTGCTTACTCTAAGCAAAAAGTAACTCTAAGCATTCTGTGCTGGTTTGTAACCCTCATTTTCTATGATCAAGCGCACTCTCATCCTGAGGGGCTCTGCCGTCCAAAGGACTGATCCTTTTTGTTTCCTACGCCTTCTGTGCCCTTGCCTCCCAGCTGCCCTTGAGGACTATCCAAAAACCAGAGTAGACAGGTCTAATCAACCATGAAACAGTAACAAAACCTTCAACAGGAACTGCCGTGATAATCACAAATCCCACTAATACCAATTTTCTGCTACTTTGTCCCTGCTTTGAAGAAGTCACTGGTATCAATCTGGAAGAGAGCCCATTCTGTATAGCCGATTTAATTTAGAGGTTTACTGGTTAAGCTCACCCAATAATAGTGATAAATGATTGGGAGGCTCAATTGGAAGTTTAAAGGTGCCTTATAAAATCCATGTCAGAATTTAAACCCACCTTAGAGATCAACCAAGTCTAATCCTCTACTTTGCAGGCTTAGAGGTGAGGAAGTGACATAACCAGCACCACACACCTGTATTAACAGGTGGAACTAGAACTCTTGCCTTAGGAGTCTGTCTGGATCAGGGAAATTCCATTTCCCCATACTTGAGGATGAGGATGATGGGTGAAAATGAGGCTGTGATTAGGAATAGGAAGTCCCCTCACTCTGGGTGGCTACGTGGAAGTTTAGTGCATTGTGCTTCCTGTGGGTTGCTTGATAAATGTTCATTTTTCCTGATGCTTGTTGGAGCCACCTACAAGATGGTTAGTCACATGAGTAGAACAGACAACAGAAACAGGCAGTGCAGGACAGGAATCGATGTAGCCAGTTTATCAGTTATCATGGCCAGAGGCTGTGCTCACAAGTCAAGGGAAGCCGCTTTACAGTCCACACAGTCCTGGAGGCACCAACATTCTGAGACAGTGGAGAGAGCTGAGCAGGGCAACAGACCCTGGTCGTGAGCTGGCAGAGGGCTGCTCAGCTACTCCCACTCATGGCTAGAACCAGCAAGTGACTGCAGTGGTCTGGCCCAGTTTAAGAAGCATGTAGGACACAGATTCAGGTTCCAGCTCCATACTATGGCAGCAGCTTGTGGAGACTAATCATCATCCAGTGCCTGGCAGTGTATTTCATTCATATAATGATCCTATGAGGCAGAAGGAAATTAATCCGAAGTCATGTGTCCAAAGGCATTCAGCTTAGAAATGGAATTGGGATTTGAACCTAGAGTAACCCTAAGGTCCTTCCTTTTCTACACCACCATGGCACCTCCTAGATGAAGCTGAATGTATTTGCCTCTAAGCTACCAGTCCTCACAAATTGAGTTTACAAAAGTCATCTGGGGCATGAAAACCAGATGCCTAGACCTTAAGTAGAGATTGCTACAGCCCAGGAACAGGTGTTTTGGCAAGCATGACGAACTAAGATGTGGGTTACCATGGAACCCAACTTACATTCTGAGAGGCATTCCAACTTTTTTTTCCCTCTGTTCCTTCAAGTTTCACATCATAATAGACTCCCTACGGAATTTCTTTTCTCCTAAAGCTTGTTTTTACACTGATCTTGCCATTTCTGGTACCAATACACATTATCCTCTGGTCTGTGGTTCGCTTTGTAAAAATCATTGAACCCTCCTTCACCTGGCTTTTTAAAACCAAAATCTTTTCTGGAGCTCCAAGATCACCCCCACAATATACTTCCCTGATATTTAGGTAGTTTACAAAACACGTTTGTTATTTCTGGTGTATGGAAGGCAGAAGTTATTTTCACCTTCCAGGTGAAAAAGACCAGGGTTACACTGCTTGTCCAGGCGGTGAACTAGGCACTAGCAGTTGGGTCTTCTTTTTTTTTTTT